GCAGTTTCTTCATTCATTCATTTACACACCAAGTATTTGTCCAGTGCCTGCTATATTTTAGGCACTGGACTGACTAGTGAAGAGTCAATATGATCCCTAGCCTCAGAAAGCTTGTGGTTTTGTGGAGGAGACAACATTTTAAGTAAAGGCACACATGAATATTAATTATAACTAAAATATATTCTTTAAAGGAAAAGAATGGAATGTTATGAGAATGTAATGTGGGTCGTGATAGTGGGGATATAGAATTTAGATGGGGGCAGTGGTTACAGATGGGCTGTCTAGAAAGTGATGTTTAAATTGTACCCCAAAAGTTGAGAAGTGAGCACACTGAAGGATCCACATAGGCACATGGAACCTACCCCGAGAAGGTCACTGGCAGCAAGAGTGCAGCCCAACGTCAAGTCTGTAAGTTAGGCAGGAGCTACACCCTGCTTGACCTTGGAGACCAGGGTTGGTACTGAAGGCTCATACCAGACCTGTAACTTATGATTCTAAAATAGGCTCTCCTCGACGGCTGAACGTTGAAACTGAAGTCAGATGTCCAAATTCTTCCACCCCTGCCTGAGCAGGGACTGGCAAATTTAGACCCAGAGGCTCTTTCAGAGTCTGCTGGAATCTCAGGTAACCACATATCCCTTTTCCTCATTCATATCTTCTTCCCCACCCTGAACCACACCCAGACTCTGCTCAGGTCCCTGTTGTAGAAACAAGTGCTTTGGGAATGAGAATATGTCTTCATCATTGCTAGGACTGGGGCCTTTCATTCTTCCACCATTGTGTCAGTGGAAAAAGACCTAACTTGACATCACAAAAGAAAGAATTTTATAATGTTAATTTTAAATTAATCTTAATTAACTTATTATTATTTAATTATTAATTAAATTTAATTTCAAAATGTTAATTTTAATGTCTTTTAATGCCATTTTATATCTTAAGTCAATTACACATTAACTCCTTAAAAATAATGTGCTTTTTATTTAATTTTAGACCAATCCTAGGTCCAGACTCCACAAAGAGGCCCCTGACACTTAAATAATTAAGAATAATAATGAATGTAATAATCATCACTCTTTTCCAGAATTCAAAAGCACTTTTCACTTATTTGACACCTTCTTAAGCTACAGGAAGATAAATCACATCAGGCCTGGGGAGAGAAGGAAGAGTTGCAACTTGTAATTCAGACACCCAAAGTCCACAGAAAGAAAGGGGACCCAATCAGCTTCCTAATGATGTGGTTCTTTAACAAGTGATACCAGCCGCCTGTACCCTCTGCTTGCGTGAATAAATTATTCTTGCCAGGTTCGGTTATTCCTTGACAGCTGAAGGAAGACATGTCCTGTCAGCTTCATCAAGGGAGAGAGTAAATGTAGATAATTGTAGATGTTATGGTATGGTTATGTCAAGTTCATTTCACTGTTCTTTTTTGGTACATTTGAAAATTTCCATAATAAAATGTTTTATTTTAAGTGTTAATCTTTTTATTGTTATTGAATATTTCTAGATTCCCTCTCTCAAATATTTCTCTGTGTTATGGGACCAAATCCCAGTCATCTCTCACTGGTAGCTGCTCTGGCAACAGTTATAAAAACCTATTGTTTGGGGTACCCGGGGGCTCAGTTGGTTAAGCATCTGCCTTGGGCTCAGATCATCGTGATCTCGGAGTCCTGGGATTCAGCCCTGCTTTGGGCTCCCTGCTGAGGGTTTCTCCTTCTCCCTCTGCCCCTCCCCCCACCCATACTCATTCTCTCCATCAAAGAAATAAATAAAATCCCTAAAAAAAAATCTTTTAGAATCTATTGTTTGGTGGAGTTAGAAAAAAACAAAAGACTCAAACTTTGAAGTATGAGAAGGAAAGCTCAGCTATCTACCTTGAGTTCACACTATTTCAATTCAATAAACAATTTCAGAATTAGACCCATCAAGACCAGGAAGGTGAGTGCCAGATAGACATTACCATCTTTGTCACCACTGGGCAATGGTACAAGCACTTAAAAAAAAAAAATTCGATTCTTGGCTGAGAAAGCATGATTCTGGTAATGCAGAAGAAAGAACTCTCTTTTGAGACAAAGTGTGCTTCCCAACCTTCTCCCTGCTACACATACATAAATGCTCCCAAAGAGAGGCCTGGATCAATAAAAAGCAAATTAAACCACTTAGCTGGAAGTGGTGGTCTTGATAGAACCAGACTCTTGGGAAAACTCTTGGAAATTTCCATTCTAGAATCTTCCTATTTATACGAATTGGAGAGGAATCATAATCCGAAGGATTTTACCTTCCCAAAGGAGGGTCTGTTTCCAAATGGCTTTTTGAACACACATAAGAAGAAAACCCAAGGCAGGTTCCAGCCACATACAGCTTCCTAGCTTTATAGGATTTCACTGGAGCCAGAGGAATGCAGGCTACTTGATGCCTCAGTTTCCACATTTATCAAATGGTGATAATATAGGTTATTATGGGAATTAAATAAGACAATATGTAGGAAGTACTTAGCACAGTAGCTAATGCATTAGAAGTACTCAATAAATGGGTTTGGCTCTTGTAAATTATTTGATTGTTTACCACATCTTTATATGCTAGCTACATTTTAGCATAATTCAGACAAGCCCATTCACCATTCAATCCAAACCCGTGTACAGGGAAAAAAAAATATTTTTCCAAACACAAATATAAACTCACTTTATTATGCTTTTGAAATAAGAAAATATTAGCATAAATATCCGATCTATTAGTAAAATCTCAATCTGAAAAGAAGGCCCAATGGTACAATGTATCTATAGAAGTTAGTTTCTTTGCTTTTCTAGTCAATTTCAAAGAAGAGCTTGAAGTGATATAAAGTAATATTTAAGATGTTGAATCATCACACCACCATCTTGTTCTTGATTCCACAAAATACCTCATTCCCACAAATTCCTCCCTTTTGAAATAAACAGTATAGGCACATGGAACCTTAACAGTAACATTTTGTGAAGTTAGACAATGATAGACTCTAAAATCTACATTTTCCTTGCTGGTTTTCTAAAAATGCTGCTCCAAAAGGGAAGTAAAATATAAATTTATGCATGTATAAAATAAAAATATCTGAATTATTTTATATAAAATTTTAAAAGCTCCGGTTTCTATACTCATTTTTCATGAATACTTATAATACTTTAGAAAAATTATATTGCAGAGCTGGATAAACAAAATTTTACTGTGATCATCAGGGAAAAATATGTATAAGAATATTTTTAACTATATTTCAAAAAATCTTTAGGCTTGAAGATTCAAGAAATGACATTTAGTGTAAAGTGCTACTCCAAACACACATAAGTTCATTTAACTTTGACTTTTTTACAGATATTTTCCAAATATTGTTTTTAAATTGCAAGTGACAAAGTAAATGGGTTCAAAACTACAGTCTTAAACTAAGTAAAAAGATAACAGGCAACATTCAAATTTATCTTTGGAAAACAACTATGAAATACTACAGCTTTCTTCCATTAAATCAAGTCAGTATTTCATTCTGAAAGCAATGTATTAATATGTTATTTCATGAAGTAATCCAGTTATAGGCAAAGACTTGCTGAACATGCTTAGTCAACCTAAGATCTTCCTCAGTGCTGGCCTCTGGAGGGACAATGGATAAAATGGCCTTTCGGGGTCAAAATATTTCTTTGAGGGGCGCCTGGGTGGCTCAGTGGGTTAAAGCCTCTGCCTTCGGCTCAGGTCCTGATTCCAGAATCCTGGGATCGAGCCCCGCATTGGGCTCTCTGCTCCGCGGGGAGCCTGCTTCCTCCTTTCTCTCTCTCTGACTGCCTCTCTGCCTACTTGTGATCTTTGTCCGTCAAATAAATAAATAAAATCTTAAAAAAAAATATTTCTTTGAGGCTCAGATTGTAAATTTTTCAATAGTTAAAATCCCCCTTCAACGGTGTAACTTGCTCCTAATTTACAGGTATGACACAATTTGGGGATGCAAATGGTTGGAGACAAGCCAGCAGATCTGGCCTTTCTCTTCTTTCCCGTGTCCTCCCTCTGAAAAGTCAGAAATTACTCCAAACTGTAGGAAAACGGAGTACTTGAGAATGAGTAAATTATTCTAATCCAATGAGTGAAGGTACATAAACAAGTTCTATGAACTATAAAGTGTCACAGCATTAGCCTTCTTAAGCTTCTCTTCCCTCTCCCCCGACCAAAGCTCTAATTAATGAGTGCTGGGATGCTGAGCCGAATCCCTAAAGCCTTCTTGCTCAGGTGAAGAGGCCCAAGTTAGAATCAAGTTTCTAATGATTATCCATAAAAAGATAAAAACTTAACCCAGGGAGAAAGGAATCTCACCTTTAGAATAGTTTTCAGGCTAACCGCCCAAGTTCTGTTTTGGGTAATGATGAACAGAAATGTCTGATCTGAAAAGAAAACTCCCATCAGAGACCTGCTGATTCAAGAATTCAATTCCTGCCCAGCTGGAATTCTGCCAACACTTTCAGTTCCTGGCAGGACTGTGTGTACAATTCAAATAAAAGCTTTGTTTCTAAAGAAAAAAAGGGGGAGAGAAGTGTTGGTGTTAACATTTCAGGTAAGATTTAGAAATCACCCTTGTGACTTGCTGTATTCTGTTAAATTCAGTATTATATTAATAGACGTGGGTGCCTAATCAGAGGGGAGGGGCTCAGCCTTAGGAAGAAGCCTTCCGTGGAGGTGGGAGGTGAAGATGTCAACCCTTTCTCTAGTAGAGTTTCTCACTAGGGCTTTACACGGAGTTGTTGAAGAATGCTTTAGATTCTGCAACAGGCAGTGATTAATACAGACCCCTTTCTCCAAGAAAGCATCAAGTAAGCAAATCTAACATGCCATTGTTTCCGTTTCCATTCTAACTGAGGGAGTAAGATAGAGGGGCAGAGAGTTGGCAACAAAGCTTCCCAATGTCATCTGCTTTGGTCATGCTTCGAAATTACCCCCAATTACAGCGAATTATAGCAGCTCCGTCCTAACATACTGCATAGAGTAATGCTCATTGAATGAAAGGTAAAAGTTCGATTGTGAGTACAAATCGCAAATGAGGAAACTCTGAGCCAGTCCAACTTGCTTTGTTACTTGGTATTCTCCCCTATAAACACTTAATAAAATAATAACGGTGATTTCCTCGGAAGGCAATGTCTCTGCCAAAATTAAATGCTTCCGAGACACGTGCAGTCCAGTGGTCCCACCTCTCTCAGCCCTGAAGATTCCCAGGCTCAAGGCCATGGGTCATGCGGGGTTGTAACCAGGCACTGTCAGAGCCACACACTGATCGTCTTTGTGATCTAACTCTCTTGCTACAGAATAAGCCACCGATCCATTGGTCCATAGCTGCAGCTTGGGATCCAATTCTTTGGCAAGGAACCGCAGCTGGGTTTTTTTCCTCTTCTTTACGAGTCTAGCAAAGCCAAGCAACACAGAACTGAATATCATTGAAAATCCACAGAGAAGAAATGCCGCCGTGTAGCTGCCAGTCGTATCGACAAGCCACCCTGTAATAAGCAACCACAAAATTACATTGTCGAGTGTAAAATCCAATTATTTACGTGCTCCCAAATCTAATGCTTTCTAATGATAATAAACACTAGGTTGCTAGCACCACCATCATAGTTTTGACACACAAAGCCTATCTAAAAACATTGTGCAGCAACTGAAAACTGCATTGTTTTCTAGGAAAATTCATAAAACAGATTGTTGTTCTGTAAAGTACTTGGAGGAATGTCCCATTCTTAGTGATCACACAACAAATATTATTATTAATACCAGCAAGTATGGAAGAAAAGATAAAAATAGTGTCATTCAGGGGCGCCTGGGTGGCTCAGTGGGTTAAGCCTCTGCCTTCGGCTCAGGTCATGATCTCAGGGTCCTGGGATCGAGCCCCGCATCGGGCTCTCTGCTCAGTGGGGAGCCTGTTTCCTCCTCTCTCTCTGCCTGCCTCTCTGCCTGCTTGTGATCTCTTTCTGTCAAATAAATAAATAAAATCTTTTAAAAAAATAGTGTCATTCAAATTATTGAGTTGGGATCATTTATATTTGTTGTATAATTGTACTGAATGTTAGTAGTATTCCCAGTACCCACATACTGTCTATCTTGAGTAACATAACATGCTTCTGGATAAAGCAGAATTCAAATTTTCAGTTGGATCCAGTCACTGTACCCTGTGCAGTTTGAAATCAGAACTTTGGGCCATCGTAGAAGTTGCCAATGCAAACTGTACCTCGTATCACCAGGTATCATTTTGCAATCATGGCTCCCCCCTTCTTTATTTCTTCTTGCAACAAATTAATATCAATAGCTATTCCAGCTCTAAATTTTGAGGAGGACCAAGGCATATGATATGCAAAACATGGGCCACAATGATCAGAGAATCAATGGGGTCAAATTAGACCTTGGCAGGCAATTATTTTGTGATTAAAAAGTTTAAAAAAAAACTCCTCTAAATTGGGATGCCTGGGTGACTCAGTTGGTCGAGCATCTGACTCTTGGTTTTGTCTCAGGTCACGATCTCAGGGTCGTGGGGTTAAGCCCCGCATCAGGCTCTGCATTCAGTGAGGAGTCTTCTTGAAGATTCTCTCCCTCTCCCCCTCCTTCCTCTCATGTTCTCTCTCTCTCTTTCTAAAATAAATAAAATAAATCTTTAAAAAAGTGCCTCTAAACTTAAATCCACTGGAAAGGCATATGATTTTACCTTTCACCTACTTCAATTCATTAGTCAAAAATGTTATGTAGAGGCGTGCCTGGGTGGCTCAGTTGGTTAAAGCCTCTGCCTTCGGCTTGGGTCATGATCCCAGGGTCCCGGGATCAAGCCCCGTATCGGGCTCTCTGCTCAGCGAGGAGCCTGCTTCCCCCTCTCTCTGCCTGCCTCTCTGCCTACTTGTGATCTCTGTCAAATAAATAAATAAAAAATCTTTTAAAAAATGTTATGTAGAGGGTGCCTGGGTGGCTCAGTGGATTAAGCCACTGCCTTCAGCGCAGGTCATGATCTCAGGGTCCTGGGATCGAGTCCCGCATCGGGCTCTCTGCTCAGCGGGGAGCCTGCTTCCCTCTCTCTCTTTCTGACTGCCTCTCTGCCTACTTGTGATCTCTGTCAAATAAATAAATAAAATCTTAAAAAAAAAATGTTATGTAGAAATTGTTATAAGCCCCACAAAGTTTCCTACAATTCACAGTATCTCAAATATTTTAGTTGTTGTGGGATTTACTTATGCATATATTTCAGAATATATGCATATATATGTATGTATGTATGACATACGTATGACATAGGACTGAGTTGTCATTTTAAAGGTAATTAAATAAATGGTAAGATTCTCCAATGCCTGACAATAAGTATAATGTCTGATTTGCCAAAGGAAGACCACAGATTGAAAAAAGATCCAGGAATTCCAATGTCATTGATGCACTGTGACTTTTTAAAAGAATTACAGAATTATACTGCTCCTAAAGGCTGGTGAACATAAAAATTGGCTATGGAGGGAGGATGTGGGGACACTTTGGGAAACTGCCCCCAAAATGACCCCCCAAAAAACATTTTGGGGGCACTTCCCAAAATGAAGCATTAAACATGTAGCCCTATATCACCAAGTTTAAACTGACCAGGATATTTTATCCACAGCTCTGAAGCAACCAGATTGCCCCCCAGTGTGCTTCTTTAGCAATCACTAGAGTTTGGAAATAATTCAAAACTTTTTATTCACAATATCAGTTAAAGCAGAAATCCTGCCTTCTTCAAAAATTCCCTTCCTTTCTTCTAAGCACATGTTTGGCTCATTTCTTTTTTTGCCTATTTTCAGAGACCTTCACTCTCTTAGTTTTAGTTTAGGCAGGTGATAAAATCAGAACCAATTATTCTCGGGGCACCTGGATGGCTCAGGAGGTTAAGGGGCCACTTTTGGTGCCGGTCAAGATCCAGGAGTCCCAGGATCAAGCCCCGCCTCAGGTTCCCTGCTCAGTGGGGAGTCTGCTTCTCCTCCTGCCCCTCTCACCCTGTTCTTGGGCTCGTGCACTCACTCTCTAATAAATAAATAAGCTCTTTTAAAAAAGAACCAATTAGGGGCACCTGGGTGGCTCAGTGGGTTAAAGCCTCTGCTTTCGGCTCAGGTCATGATCCCGGAGTCCCAGGATCGAGCCCCGCATCGGGCTCTCTGCTCAGCGGGAAGCCTGCTTCCTCCTCTCTCTCTGCCTGCCTCTCGGCCTACTTGTGATCTCTCTGTCAAATAAATAAATAAAATCTTTAAAAAAAAAAAAAAGAACCAATTATTCTCAATCTTTAGTGTTCATGAGCTTCACAAGAAAGCTGATTCAGAATGTAGATTCCTGGAAAGATTCAGATCACAAAGGAGGATCAAGGAATCTGCATTTTGTAACAAGGGCCCCAGGGGGTTTTGACGCAGGGGGTCCCAGAACTTCCATTTTGAGAGACACTGGTCTAGACCACATTCTCCGGGAAGGAGGGAGGGACTCTGACCTGTTTGCTGCCATAGTAGTGCCAAAGGAAATGCTGGTGCGCGCAAGCAATAAATAGTTGTCAAATCACTTGTTCAATCATGCTTTAAATTTCTATAGCATTTGATGGTTCGCAAACCATTCTAGATGCTTTATCTGATAATCCCCAAATCTTTAAATCCAAATCTGGCCTCCCTCTAAAGCTCAGATTTCATCTTTAAACAGCTCTGTTGGACATTTTATTGGGTATTTCAGATATCTGAATATTTCTAAACTTTTAATTCATTGTTTTTTTCTGGCAAAGCCACTTTTTCCAGCTTCCTTATTTCTTTCAACCATGCCATTATTTTCTAGGTTATCTTTGTGTTTTCTCCTCCTTCACTCCCACATGTTAAATTCAGTTGATTTTTCCCCCCAATACTTCCTCTTTGCCCTGAGAGCTCATTTCTATTTCTGCTGCAGCAGCCCTAGTGTAGGTCTCTATCAGTTTGCTTCTGAACTATTAGAATGGAATCCTAATTGCTTCTCCCCTAATTACCAGGTCAATTGCTAGGTCCCAGTTTCTAAAATATACTCTCTACCATATTACCCCTTTACACAAAATCCATAATATTATCCAGAGTCTCTGAAGAATATAGGGCCCTTTTGGCTCCTTTGGTTGGCACTCCAGACACTCCACTGTGACACGCTCACTCACCATTTCAGCCTCGCTGCCCGCTATCCCCAAGTGGAACCCTGTACTCCCTCTAAACTTCCCTCTGCATGTGCCTGACTTATTTATAAGTTTTGAACAGCTGCTCCATTCCATTGCTCCCATCATTAGTGTGGAAGGGAATCAGGAACCTAATTTTGGATTTTTTCTTTCCAAGTAGGCTAAGGTCTCCATTGGCTGGAAGAAAGTTATAAAACAAGGATATAAGTAAGACCATGATATTTTGATGGCTCTTGAATCCCTTTCTCTTTCACTCTTCCCAACTTATTTTCTAATCCTCATTGTCTATGCATGAGTTCACTGTTTTCACATTAGTACGACAAACAGAAGAGGTGGTTGGGGGATCTCTCTGGAAACCTACCTGCAATGGGCGGGCTCACCAGGTACGGCACTGCATGAAGGAAGTACACCACACCAAGCGCTGAGGACAAAGAAGTGGTCCCCACTATTTCTGCAGTCACTACAGGGATCAGAGTCACGTAGGCACCATCAAAGTAGCCAAAGGTACAAGAGAAAGGCACGAGCAGGGAAAAGCTCTGAAGCATTGGGAGGCAGAGATAGCAGAGCCCATCTAGTCCCATGGCAAAGAGGTAGCAGACATACCGGTAATTCTTCAGGCACCTGTGGATTTGAAGATCAAGAATGAGGGCAGTATGTACGGGTTCTATCCGAGAGCTTTAGAACCATGCCCCCCGCCCCCAGCAATAAGCTTCGTTGTTACTTATAGAGAAGGCTTCCCATGGTTATCTATGTTGTCTGCCTATCGTTCTTCTGGTATATGGAGACACAGAATTCATCTTCCCAGGAAACATGGTATGGCAGAAAGTAGCATACGCTCTGAAGTTAGAAAGATAGGAATTTTGAATCCAGCTCTATACCTCCTCACGGCTCACCTCTAATCTCAGTTTCTTTAGCTATAAAATGGGACTGTTACCAATCTTGTTAGGGTTACCCTAAGGATAGTTCTAAAATAACAGGTACAGTATCAGGAAGCTAACATTTTCTAGCAGCCTATCCTACTAGATGTTTTCAGATAGGTCATCCACTGGTATCTGGTACATCATATATGCTCAAAAACCCAACATAGGGGTGCCTGGGTGGCTCAGCTGGTTAAGCATCTGCCTTCTGCTCAGGTCATGATCCCAGGGTCCTGGGATCAAGCCCTGCATCGGGGGTTTTTCCCTCTTCCTCTCCCCATGCTTGTTTTCCCTCTCTCACTGTGTCTCTCTGTCAAATGAATAAATAAAATATTTTAAAAACCCCAGCATATAAAAGGGAGAAGCTAGCATATGAAGACATTAAAATGCTTTACCAGAGACTATGAAGGTCTTGTAACAGGACGAAGTCTTATTTCGAACCCTCCCCAGTGATACTTCCATTCCACTTTCCCTCTCTAGCTCCAAACTCATCATTGTTACCAAATGGCACTGATACCATCATTATTACAAAGACTCAGTATAATATCAGCACCAGCAGTTTATGCTTTACAAACAGTTTTCAACCCACCATCTCACAAAATGCTAAGGGTTAATAGAAAAATATTGCACTGGCCTGTTTTGCCGATGAAGACCCTTAAGGATCCGAGGGTTAGTGATTTTCCCTAGCTCACAGGGATCATAAGGGGCAGAGTCAGCACAAGAACTTAGGTCTCGATTATCTCCGACTGCATACGCCTCTATCAAACCTACACCGGGCTACTTCTTGTCGAGTTGGTTGTCCAGACGGATGCCCCTGCTCTCTGCTCTTTTCCTTACCTACTACATTTTTGGAATTAATTTTAAATATTCATAGCCCTGGAGAATGGCAGTGGAACCCTGGTTAATTACCAAAGACATAATACAGGATCATTGCTCTCCCACGTCATAGCTCAAGTGTGAAGAGTCCATTTAGGAGAAGATGAGGACCTTGCTCTCTTCAATCCTAGCAGATAAACATTAGCTGAAGAAACCACTTGGTGGATTTCTGACGACTGTGATTCCCAAACTTAAAATGATAATGAAAGTATTTGCTCTTTGAATCGTCAAACACAAATATGTACCTATAGATCATGTATGATTATTGCCCCTGGTCTTCCTGCCTGGACTGAAATCTGCTCCTCTCTCCATTGCCAGCCCGCCTCTGGGGTCATTAAAAAATAACTAAAACCACAACACCCAGCCTGAGAACTGACTTGATTTGGGATGAAATTAAATCTGTCACCAGAACTTGGTAGTGACCACAGGTTTCGGCCACTTAGACTTATCCACTCTCCCAAACCATCTAGAACAGCGGTCGGCAAACTATGGCCAAATCCACCCCACCACCTGGTTTTTGCACTCTCTATGAACTAAGAATGGTTTTCTATTTTTGAGAGGGCTGGAAAAAAATAAGAAGAACACGATTATTTTGATACATAAAAATTACATGAGAAATTAAAATTTCAGCATCCAGGGGCACCTGGGAGGCTCATTGGGTTAAGCCTCTGCCTTTGGCTCAGATCATGATCTCAGGGTCCTGGGATCGAGCCCCGCCCGCATCAGGCTCCCTGCTGAGCAGAGAGCCTGCTTCCCCTGTTCTCTCTCTGCCTGCCTCTCTGCCTACTTGTGATCTCTGTTAAATAAATAAATAAAATCTTAAAAAAAATTATAAAAAAATTTCAGTATCCATAAGTAAAATCCTACTGGTACACCATCACTTGCATTTGTCTGAATAGGGTCTACAGCTGGTTTGTGCTATGACAGCAGAGTTGAATAACTGTGATCACATGACCACAGAGCCAAAAATGTTTACTCTCCAGCCCTTTACAGAAAATGTTTGCCGACCTCTCACTAGAAGAACAAGCAAGGGAGTTGCTTTCAGATATGGAAAACTATCCCCTGGTAGGGAACCAGCTGTGGTCTCAAAGGATTTTACCTTCTGTCAGTTAGCCATCCGAATGTGATATTGCCAACAATGTCAATCACCCCGAGTATGGACATAAGGAAAGCGGCTTGCTGGTGACTCACTCCGACACTCACAGCATAAGGTACCAAATACACAAAAAGAGGACTGCAGCCATAAGCCATAAAGAGAACAGAGATGGCTAACACGACAAAGTCTGACATCAGTAAAAAACTGTATTCCTGCTGCAAAGAGCAACAGAGGCAGGTCTGCACCCATTTTTTAGTCAAAGTGGAACAGGGAGCCACTCGCTTAAAGTCTTGTTTCTGAGTTCTACTGATGGGGTTCCGCTCTGGAGTCGTCTGGTCCTCTTTCAGGGTGATGGGCCGCATCAAGGCACCGCAAACACAGAGATTCAGAACAAAGCCCCCGAGGATGAGTAGTGCTCCCCGCCAGGAAAACTGTTCGATAAGGAGCTGAACCACGGGGGCCAGAACGAAGGTGCCGATGCCGCTTCCGGACATGGCGATCCCGTAAGCCAGGGCTTTCCGTCTGTTGAAATACTTGCCGACCATGGCAATCGCTGGAGAGTAACAGAGTGCAAATCCAAGACCTAAGGATCAAGAGAAGTCCATGAGTACTGGCACGCCATCAACAGCCAATGAAAGAAAACATCTCAGAATAAATTTATTTGGATGAAGGAGAATCTGGCCTTCTGTCTAACCCTTTGAAAACTATTTTCTACACCAAGCTGCAGGGGAGTCTCCCCCAACCAGTTATCCACAGTTGGGAAAATACAGCATATATATGACTTTCTTCTTGGGAAGAAACCCTTAAGGGATATGGCTTCTTAAAATGAAATGAAGAACTTAAAAACTGTCATACAAATTGAATTTGAATTAACTAGAAAATCAGGATAATGCTGACTTAAAGAAACTTATGCTCCCCACCAATGAATCTTTTTATCTTAAATTATTCAGAGAATTACCTCAACTTTTCACGGCCTATGAAAACACAACTCTGATCATCAGGACCACTCTGGAATTTGGGTTTCAACAGCATATATGGCCCCATGAAATTCCAGGGTAATTTCACATGACTGGGAAACGTCATGCCAGCTTTTTACATGGACTTTGCATATAGACAGAGTAACTTGAAAATAGTCCTTAAAGTCAGCGGAAAGTCTCTGAAAGGTTTTCAGCTTCAATTCCTTTTAAGTCAAGAAATTCTAAAGGGAGTAAACCCTGGGAATTCATGGCATCCAAATGGAAAAACAGAACCACCATCAGCTCCCTATTCCATCCGTACTGCAGGTGACCAATGATCCTGATTTGCCGGGACTGGTAGGTTTCCTGGAGATGTTTTCAGTGCTATGACCGGGGCCCTCCTTGATAAACTGAGATGCCTGGACACCCTAGCAGCTGGGCTCTTTAGACACATTTTCTTAGCCAACAGAGCCAGATTTATAAAAATCACTATGAGATTATGGCTTTTATTGGCCAGATCACGCTACCTGCTATGGCACAGTGTGCAGACTGTGAGTTAGTGCTAATCCACGTCGCTCTGAGTGATGGGGCATATTGCCACTCCAGTGCCACCAACCGATCCCACCTTGATGCCAAGCAGTCCCCTTAGCATCTGATTTATGGAGGCACAGAGGTTTCTTTTCTTCCTGCAGCATTCATTGTAATTCTCTAAAGTGTACTTCCATGACATTGAGAGAAACCCCCATTTACTGGACAGTGATCTTCACTATAAAGCAGGGCCGACTCAGGTCGACCACAGGTAGTATTTTTAGTTCTTGGCAAAGATGTTGGGAGAACGGTCACTGCTGAAAATGTATGTTGCCCTGGCTAATCTCTCATTACTTCTGAGTACAGAATCTCACCATGCTCTGCTGCCCAAGGGGAAGCCAGCAGTTACTTCTATCATGTGGCCGGTACATTTTCATTACAGCAGTACAATCAGCTGGATTTCCAGCTCTTTCAACTGCTAGGTTAGGTAAGCGTAAACTAGGTCAGCTAAATGGTGCACCTAGCAAGATGAATATTTTATAGATTACAGTTCTGTGGATGTGCTTAACAAAAATTGAATGGGGGTGGGGCGAGACAAGGGGTACCAAGTGCCCTTACCTGTAAGAACTCCCAAAGTGAGGTAGAGATGCTTCAGATTGGTGGCGAATGAGCCCAGGATGAGACCAGTAGAGGCCAGCAAGCCACCCAGCATGATTCCCACTTGGCAGGATAAGTGGTTACTGACAACACTCCCAAGCGGCGCTTCAAAAGCAATAATAAATGGGTTTAACAGAAGGGCCTTGAGGGCACTGAGAGAAGACTGTGGTGTTACATCGGCAAAGCCGAGAATGATGGGCCTTTACAGCATCAAGCCTGTCCTGCTCATTCTATGGATTTGGTCACTGAGGAGAGAGGAAACGACCTGTCCATAGTCACACAGAGAACAGCTAACAAAGCTGGAATTAGACAGGGTCTGCTGACTTGCTTTTCGCTGCCCCCTCACTTCATTCTCTTACCGTTATAATCCCAGGGCTCTGGGGTGCTTTTTGAACAGTGAATCAGCTCCTTATTTAAATTAGTTATCACCTGTACTGGGATGTGCCTTGTATGTTTTATACGGTTTTGATCATGCATCAATAGCAATAATTATGGCAGTTAGCTGGCAGGGAAGGAAAGCGGACACTGTGGCCGGCAGTGCTAGGCAGTAAAGGCCAGGGAAAGAGACCACAGACACATTTCACAATCTGGTACTGTTTTCAGGCTTTAGGAAACTCTGTGGATGAGAAATCAAATGCTTCACGTCCATGGTGATATTTTGGTTGGCCTCCCTCTACTTTGTGGTTTAACAATGTGTCAGAACTGTGCCAACTGCCAGTTTATAGAATATTAATTAAAGCTAGAATAAACTGCAGAGAAATAGAAGTTGAGGGGAATATGACATGTCCAAGATCACCAAGAAGCACTGCTCAGGGCACATGACACGAAGGGCAGGGTTTTTTCACCCTCTTACTCTGTCTCTTTGGGCCTTCTAGACTGATGGCAAGGGAGGTGGGTAGGGGGGCAGCACGTAAATTCTTTCTGTGGAACAAGTTGGTACCAGTGTTCTTACTAACAAGATCAGAAGAGCAAGTTCTCTGGGTATTTGTGGAGTATAATTTTGTATTGATCAAGCTGAAACCGGGGCCTGACTCCAATGTACATGATGGGACCAGTCATCAGCCTGATGTCTCCTGTCTAGTTCACACAGTTGCTGGCTGTATATAGAACCTCTGGAAGACGGGAAGGAGTGACCCTCCTGAGACTATATCTAAGTCTATCAGAAAGTGACAAAATTTAGACCAAACTCAATGAAAATTGTTTACTTCCTGTTTATCCTGGGGCAAAGCGCCCCACCCCCCAGGGAGTGCCCTATACTTGACTCCACAGTCTTTTGTCCATGTCCTGAACTTCACCAATACTGTACAGTGAGCAGCTGCGCACATGACAACTGGCTACAACAGGTCGGATGGCTTGCATGGCCTCAAGCCCTTGAATTTAAAAATGCTGCATCTAACACAACCCTGCTTGATCACACAGTCACTGTGATGGTGTTGGTCACTGAAGGTCATTTATTCCTCTTCTGGGGATTATAAATATTCTCCAAAAGATAAAGGTGAGGGAGATGAGTCACCTGTGTCCTCTGAGAACAATAAACATGGCTCACTTGGCATGTTCATATAAAGGCTGTGACTAATAACGCGACCCTGAAAACAAAGGGACTGTTTGATTAAAAAAAAAACAGGCCAGAAAATACAAAGATATTATTTTTTGATCCCTTAAGACCTCCCAGTGTTATCAGTAGCCAGAGCCAACTTAGCCTTCTCCTGAAACTTTTTAGTCCTAGAATTGCTCTCAAATTCCTCCCAACAAAGGAAATACATTTCTGTACAATTCAACTGATTCCTGTGTATGTACATTTTTTCCTAAAAAAATAAGTATGAATCAGTACCTAGAATGGAATGAGTTGGTGTTATTTATGAGTTATTAAATAACATAGTATTTCCCTTTTGCCACCATGACATGGCCTGAAGAGTTACAGTAGTTTTTTCTTTTTTAATACTAAGGATTCATTTAAATGAAATGTTTAGGGGCGCCTGGGTGGCTCAGTGGGTTAAGCCTCTGCCTTTGGTTCAGGTCATGATGTCAGGGTCCTGGGATCAAGCCCTGCATTGGGCTCTCTGCTCAGCAGGGAGCCTGTTTCCCCCTCCCCCTCTGCCTGCTACTCTGTCTACTTGTGATCTCTCTCTCTCTGTCAAATAAATAAATAAATAAAATTTAAAAAATAAATAAATAAATGAAATGTTTAAATAAGCCTAGACTACAAATAGATCATTTCAACTTGACTCAATCTCAGACACTCTCTAAGACATTAACATAATAACTTTGGTTTAAAATGTTCAAAAAGAAAAATCTCAAGGTTAGTTCTCCTCTATCATACCAGTGGATTAAGAGAGTCCATGAGTTCTGAGAACACTCTATAGACCCTAGTTGTACCCTTGGGGTCTCTTGAATGAAATTTTAACCATGGTAAGTACACTTCTCTCATGACTTCAGCATCCTATCCTTCTGTCATACTTCTCTTTTTTTTTTTTTTTAATTTTATTTATTTATTTGACAGAGAGAGGTCACAAGTAGGCAGAAAGGCCGGCAGAGAGAGAGGAGGAAGCAGGCTCCCCGCTGAGCAGAGAGCCCGATGTGGGGCTCGATCCCAGGACCCTGAGATCATGACCTGAGCCGAAGGCAGAGGCTTAATCCACTGAGCCACCCAGGCGCCCCCCCACATACTTTTCTAAGAATAAATATTTATGCATGAAAAATGAAATCCACTAGCTAAATTATGAATCTCTGGGAAGGGAACAGAATGAAAATAAGTCTTGAGCTGTGATGCACATATTGTTGGCCCTCATTTAAGGAGACTGCATAGAAATGGCTCACAGTGCTATCTGATGGCTGTTTACATGACTGGAGAACGAGGGGACCATAGCATTTAGAAGAGAGAAGCCAAGCATATACTGTATGGTTAGCTGCTTCCCAAATCAGGAGGAGTCCTGTGATGCCCAACACCCTATCTCATTACGGGAGAACCAAATAATATGCGTCTTTTTGAGAATATTAACTGCCTGTTTCATCTACCATCAGCCAAGACCATTAATTCCAAGAGCATGTCTGGTTGGGTTTGGCAGAAAGTAGGATCGGTCTTCTCTTTTTGTATAGTCTTAGCCAATTTTTATCAAACCCTTCCTACTCAGAAAAAAATGGGTAAGCAAAAGCAGTGGAAGGTCACTGTCAGGTACAGTTCAAAAGTCACCAGTCTATCCCTGGTAAGTGATACTCACCACAGAGCATGGTCACGCAATCTATAATGGAATGGATCCAAGCCGTTTGGGCATAATCCTGAGTGAAGTATGTCTGGAACTCCACAAAAAAAATTGAAATACATCTGAAAAATACAATGCAAGCATTTTATAGAAAAAAATGTGAATGAACATGGATCTATACCACAGCTTCAAGTTTTGGGTCCGCTGTTTGAATCTCTGTAAGCTTTAATGGTTTTCGGTGGTACATTGCTGGACCACCACAGGTGGGAAGTCAAAGCTATTGGACCATCTAAAGGATAAGACAAACGAACCTATTTGCCCATCAATAGGGGATCAGCCAAATAAATTTAAACTTATCAATAAAATGAAATATTTTTAGCTGTTAGAAAGGATGATCTGGTGTGTATTTATTGATCTCAGAATAAATTTACAAGACAGTCTTAAGTAAAAAAGTAAGTTACAAAGTAGTTTATATAATAAGGCTTATTTTGGTTAAAAAACAAACAAACGAACATAGTTCATATAAATAGAAAAAGGCCAAAGCATATAAGACAAAAGTACTCAGTCACTATATGTGAATGGTGAGATTATAAATGACCACTCTAGAGAGAGACAGACATATAGAGGCAGAGAAACTTTATGTTGAAAAATGGTTAATTACTTAGGATAAAAAGACATAAGCAATTCAGGAGCGATAGTTTGCAGCACTGTACAACTTGAAATGAATGTTCTACAGATCAGCAAGTTTCCTAACTCAGGGCAGGAGTTCTCAGTACTCAGCGACAGCAAGGGTGAATCCGGCCTTGATGAGAATGAGATAGGAAGTGATCAGTCTCTTGGGAGAGGACTACAGTCTAACTCACCATGCCTCAGCAGCCCACGGCAACCTGCTACTCCACTCTTCCTCCCCTCTCCAGCTGCTGCTGGGTGTGAAGGTGGGTGATGGGGAAAAAGAAGAAGGAAGAGAATCAGGTATAACCAGGACAGCTGTGTTAGGCAGGTCCGGCTTTACCAGTGGGCCTCCTCTGGGAAGGCCCAGGATCTGGTGCCCAGAAGCACAGAACTTCGGTTGTCATGGTCTTAAAATTCCTAAGAATTTTCATCTTCGAGTTTGTGTTTTGTAAGCAAAGTCCAAAGGAACAACGGGGCATGCATGTGACCCGAGGAGATACACACACAATGTGTGTTTGCGATTCTTTACCTTGCCATCGACACATGTATTACTAGAGACACAAACTCTGGTAGTCTCACATGTTGGAGTTCGGTGAGACTCAGAGCGAGCACAGGGTAAGTTACAGCTATGACTGAGGAAGTGTGGGGGTAGAGAGGCCATGCTTTTTTCAAACCAAAACTTGCTTCAAATGCAGAAAGAAGGCAATGGTGTTCTAAGCAACACAAAGGACCGAGGGTTCGTATACCCTTTCCTACTCAGGTTATGTCTGTATTTTACTAGCCAACCACTTACATTGAAAATGATGGCACAGAGGAAAGGGGAAAGGGAGGGCTATCCTCAATTCCTTTTCTTTTCCGTCTTTCCTTACTCACCAGTAAGCAGAAGATACAGAATATTCATAGAAAGTGCGTGCATCCACGCCATTGCGGGTGGCAAGATTTCATTGTTTTTGATGGCTGAGTAATAGTCCATTGTGTATACATATGGATGGAGTTAGAATGTATTATGCTAAGTGAAATAAATCAGTCAGAGAAAGGCAAATACCATATAATTTCACTCATATGTAGAATTAAGAAACTAAGCAGATGAACATATGGGAGGGGTAAAACAAAAGAAAGAAAAGAAAAAGAAAAAAGAGAGAGGGGAACCAACCATAAGAGACTCTTAATGACCCAGAGCAAACTGAGGGTTGATGAAGGGATGGGGGTTGGGGATGGGAGAGGGGGGATGGGCATTAAGGAGGGCACTTTTGATGACGAGCACAGGGTGTTGTAAGTGATGGATCACTGAATTCTACTCCTGAAACCAACATTGTACTGCATGTTAGTGAACTAGAATGTAAATAAAAATTTGAAAAAAAGAAAGAAAGAAAGAAAATGCATGCATCAAGAAGTGAAGTAAAAACACTTGAGTTTTTGTGTAGGGCTTCCCCTATTCTGCTGAAAATGAACTACATAGGAATGCACGAGCCCCAGGGGTCCCACACAGGAGTTAAATACTCACATTTGTGTTCAAAACGAGTATGGCAGGATATAAAGATGAATGGTAAGTTCATGCTAGTAAGTTAATATTTCCATTTTTCTTTCTTAAGAACAACTTGGAATAGCAAATTAAGGACCCCATGAAAAATTGAGGGAGACCAGTGAATTTCTACTTTAGCACTTTTAACAGCCCTTATTTTCCTACCTTTTGAACAAAGGGGATTGCGTTTTCATTTTGCACTGGGCCCTGCAGTTATGTTGTGGGTCCTGGGGATGGGAAAGGGAAAAGGGGCAGTAGGGGGTGCTAAGAACTACAACCCAAACCTTCCCAACCATTCTCCCTGAACCCACATGTGCCTTGGGTACATTTTGTACTCAATGGTCGGAGTTACCCTGATGCTTCAGACATTTTAACACGACTTCTGAGACCTTGCATGAGCTGGCTTTTCTTAGTGTCTCCCCCAGCTCCCCGCCACTATGCATTCTTCACTTCAGTTGGACCCAAGGTTTTCCATGACTTTCAACACACCACTCGTACTCTTTCACACCTCTGAGCATCAAAGATTTGTCTTCTTTTCTAGGATGCCCTCAGCTTCCCTCATTCTTTTAGTCTCAAGATAACTGTCAGCTCCTCCAGGAAGTCTTCCCTGACTATGTGAGTCTGGGTTTGATGCCTCTCTTACATGTTTACATGACACGCGGGGCACTTCCCACATGATGCGCAGATGGCAATTCCCTTCGCATGCGTCTGCATTCTCCACCAGACTGTTGTTCTGTGTCAGCAAAGGCCCTCCCTGCCTTATCTTGTATTTAATCCCAAATACCCAGTACACCACCTTTCGTGTACTGGGGTGCTCATTAAATATTGTTCAAGGTTCAAGGTATTGACGGAAGGAAAGAAGGAAGGAAGGAAGAATTAGCATTGGTAAAGAAGTGACTGGAAGGTGAGGAAGTAAAAAGGTTGAGTAGAAACTTCAAGGACATAAATGAGGGAATAGGAGGAGGAAGCCTGGTTGCTGGCTGTCCAGGGAAAAGGTAGCTAGATAAGGTGGAGTAGAGAGGTGAAGAATTGAATTTCATAAGCTGACAGACAAGTGAGTAGGAGGGAAATACAGAAGGTGGACAGGCAGCAGCCTAAGGAAAAAAGGGTCCCAGATGGCGATGACACTTCGGGATTGTAAATCATCGTCTCTTCTCATCACTAAATCATTCTGAGGGATTTAATATTTGTGTGCCTATGTTTGTCTCTTGTGACTTTCTTGTTGTTTTATTGCTGTTTTGTTTTCTGCTTAAAGGTTTTCCTAACTGACTTGGCTAGTCATATCGGTCAAACTTTAGGTATGTAAAATTCAAAAATAACCCCTGAGATTCTTATCTAAACATGGGAGCTAGTCTGCCCGAGGTGAAATTTAATAACCACAAACATGCTCTGATTGACCGTGACTTTCATAAAATACAGGAATAATACTGCATCACTGCTTATTTGTTCTCAAAAGGGAAAAGTACTTTTCAAATGGTAAAGGTCCAGGATTTATAGCTTCTAAACATAGGCGCGGCCTTAAAGAAAACAAATGTTATCAGGAGAATGTGGGCTTCTTTCCAGAAATAATTTTTACTGTCCTTTGGAAAATGTGTGCATCTGACATGTCAGGAACATTGGGCCCTCATCTCTGATCCTCATACAGAGTAACTGAGAATTCTGATAATGCTTCTTCATCTTTCAGGATCTCAAGTTCCTCATCTAGGACATAAGCAGTTTGATAAACATAACTGGGTCAGCCATAATGCATTAGATCATGCTGCAGTTGCAAAAAACTCCTAACATCCTGCAGGGGTGGACAGGCTCTATTCCTAAGAATGAGGAACAAAATATCAGGACACCTGTGTGGCTCAGTCGGTTAAGCACCTGCCTTCAGTGCAGGTCATGATCCCAGGTCCTGAGTTCGAGCTCCATGTCTGGCTCCCTGCTCAGCATGAAGCCTGCTCCTCCCTCTCCCCCTTCCCTTCTACAGCTTGGGCTTCCTCTCTCACTCGCGCCCATTCTCTCTCTCTCTCTCTCTCTCAATCTCTCAAATAAATAAATAAAATCTTAAAACAACAACAACAACAACAAAATATCACCCAAGTGTCATCTAGTATTCTCAAAGATACTTTCTCTCAAGGGGCCAACATGCCTACTGTTTCTACCTTGCTACTCTGCTAGAGAATTCTTCTTTGGCCTCTGAAGAGCAAGATGCTGACAACATCTGGTAACTGGTCAAGACTTTCTTCTGTTGACAGAAGTTGTGCACTGCATCAATGGCAGAAGTGATCCACTGGACAGTGTAGCCTAGTAGTTAAAAGAATTACTACTCACTAACCATGTGACTTTGTTTTTTGTTTTTGCAGCTCCTTAAATTATTTTATTAAAGTAAATGTATATTATTTGTACAGTTTTCTTCTGATTTTTATTTAAATTTTAGTTAGTTAACATACAGTGAAATGTTGGTTTCAGGATAACCGTGTGACTTTGGACATATCCAATCTCTCTGTTGTTCCAAGGACTAAACGAATTAATGAATGAAGGGTGCCTGGAACAACATTAACCAGCACAGAGCAAGCACTCAGCTAACATTAGCTATTACTTACAGGAATTCAGCTGTTGTTAGAAGAGCTCCCAATCCTACAGGACTGTAGACATCTATTGCAACTAAGTTAATTTGGATCCAGAAGACGTTGAGAGAAAAATAGGTCTTATAGCTGGAGGCTTTAACATTTAAATCAACTATTGCTTTTTCAAGTCAACTCCAATTCAAGCTGTCCATTTACAAATAGAACATCATGTAATTTCACAATGAAATATGATTCTTAAAATAGAGAATGTGTTTGCTAATAAGAGATCTTGAAGAAAAAAATAAGTAATCAACACACATTGACAGAGACAGAAAATAAATAAGAAGGATAGCTTTAATAGCCTGGACAACTTTAACCTTTATGTAAATTTCACATGTAAGGCAGTGTCATCAGTTACAAGGCAAGAGCTGAAGTACGATTTTAAAGTGTCCTGGGTTATGAGAGTAGCAGTATTTGTAAAGCAAAAGCCAGGGAACAATACAAAAGTCCTTCAAGGGGCACCTGGGTGGCTCAGTGGGTTAAGCCCTCTGCCTTCGGCTCGGGTCGTGGTCCCGGGATCCTGGGATCAAGCCCCACGTCGGGCTCTCTCTCTGTTCAGTGGGGAGCCTGCTTCCTCCTCCTCTCTCTCTGCCTGCCTCTCTGCCTACTTGTGATCTCTCTCTGTCAAATAAATAAATAAAATCTTTTTTTAAAAAGTCCTTCAAAAATGTGTAAAACAAATTATGCTCACATCCTTGTGATGGAATTTTAAGCAGTTATTTTTCAGCAAGTTAGAACCATATGTGCTGATATGGAGATGTGTCCAAGAGGTACTGTAAAGCAAGAAAAAACAAAGTTCAAAACAGTGTGTATAATATGAAAAGAATATGCTTTATATACGGATATAAGTTCTAAAAATTTTTTTGGAAAGGTCTGAAGAAAATACCAACAAGGTTAACTTTTGGGAAGTGAAAGTGGCATTCAGGAGGTGAGGAAAAAAAGACTATTTTATGCATCTCTGAATTCAAATTTTTAGCATCTGGATGTATGGCTTAATTTTATTTTATTTTATTTATTTTTTTTTTTAAGTTTTATTCATTTAGGAGTGCCTGGGTGGTTCAGTTGGTTAAGCATCCTGGGCTCGAGTCCCCGTGGCAGGCTCCCTGCTCCTCAGGGAGCCTGCTTCTCCCTCTGCCTGCCACATGCCCTGCTTGTGTTTACAGTTGTGTCAAATAAATAAATAAAATCTTAAAAAACCAGATTTATTTAACAAAGAGAGAAAGAGAGAGAGAGAGAGAAAGAGAGCCAGGGGAGGAGCAGAGAGGGAGGGAGAGGGACAAGCAGACTCCCTGCTGAGCTTGCAGCCTTATTCAATTGCAGGACCCCAGAATCATGACTTGAGCCAAAGGCAGTCGCTTAATCTACTGAGCCACACAAGTTTCATCCCCCTCTGTATGGTTTAATTTTTAGGTATACAGTTTAAATAGGAAAAAAAAAGACTTAATTGCACAACAGGCACTGATCTTCTGCACTGACAAACCACCCTCGTGGCTGCTTTCCTTGGCTGGATCTTCAGTCCACTTGGCTGCTATGTGTTCATGACATCGAGTTCCAATGCTGGCTGTGTCTTCACATTTTTCTCCTCTGGGCTTAATTCTGCTCAGCTATGCCCCTCTCAGCCTCCCCTATTAACCTCTGATAATAGGTCTTCACCACTAGCCACAACCCCCTTCTGGCTACCAGCTAAACCCTTAACGGTTCAACCATTGATCACTTTGTGATCAACCGTGATCACAAAGTGAGTAGCAGATGAAGGGCACAGACCTGATGCAGCTGGAAACCTCTTTCTTGTTTCAATCCTCCCTGGCCAAATGCTACCCATTCTTCAAGACTCTGGGGATGACTTCCCTAGAAATCCTGCCCCGAACTGCCATGTCAGAACAAACCCTCTCTCACCTGTGTTATTCTACAATCTGTTTTTACCTGATGGATATTTTGCACGTTTTGATTTGTATTTTCAGTTATTTGTGCCTGAACCTACCAGAGTCGTGTTCCAACATCTCTGTGTTTTTGGAAGTGCCTAGATAGATCCTTGTCCTCAATGAATGCGTAGTTATATATTAGTGGACCTGATTTCTATTAAATTGAAGTTGAAAACTTAAGGGTACAACCTGAAAGAAATATGCAAGACTTTCAGCCCTTGGTGGCAGTCATGGGTTCTGCTGGCATTTCTACTGTGACTGAGAAAGAACTGGGATTCAGTGTCCTGCCAAACAAGACCAGCCACACAAGATGTTAAATGAGCATTAAAGACCATCAATAAATTAGTGTCCTTGCTGCAAGTCCTCAGTTTTCTACAGACCCCTACCCCAAGTTATGTCCATAGTTTCAGAGGACAACACTCAGAGAATTCATACGTCTCCCGGCCTTAATGTGTAGTTGTTTGTACATGAATGGGGGTGACCACTCTCATGACTAGTTAGCAACAGGACAGGAAGAGTGGAGAGCCTCTGTAAGAACTGTCCTCTGGCACCATGACTTCTCATCACTGATGTGACAACCCTATGGAGATGAGGAAGTAGCCTACCTTAAGACAATGACGCCATCACCAAGGCAATTTTTAAAAAAAAAAAAACCTATGTCTGGTAAGACTACGCTGTTCTAGAGAAGAAGGTCCTATGTTTGAGGGGACAGAAACTGGCCACAGAGCTTCCTCAAAGTGCCTAAATCTTGGAGCAGAACAAAGTATGAAGATTGAAGCAAGGTCACTTCTTGCAATGAAAAGGCACCGAGAGAAGATGTGTGTGTGGATATACACACTAATGGAAGAACAAGCAGAAGTATGACGTGTATATGAGAAATAACAGGATAGGAAAACACCTAGGTTGTGTTGGAAGGAGTCAATGGATTATGTGTGCACATGCAATGGCAAATACACAAGATAAGACATTAAAAAAAAAAAGACTAGAAATCCAGTCCAGTTCTGTCCCAGCAGACAAAACTGTAGGTAAGTCACTTAAGCTCTTTGAGTACCAGTGTCCTAATCTATGACAGCGTGGTAAGCCTAGTCTGCCTAAAGTGCATCATGAAGTCTCAATGACCTGAAAGATATCAACCTGAGCCCTCCTTATAAAGCACTGAACTCACTTCCAGAACTTTCCCATCATGGATATAATGGAAGCTTCCACATGTATAAGAACCAAGACTTTCCTTTTTAACTCTATGACTCTTCATACCCCGAACACAAGGTCCATGATACAGATGGAAGAAAATCCAGACTCAACACCAATCACATTATTTTAAATGAATCTATAATTTTTTAAATGATACATAGTCAACCAACCTTTATTGTAGTAAAAACAAATATCCCGCTTCTTTCCTGCATTATATATTGTTATGGGGGAAACATCAATGCTTTCATTGAGGATGTCATCAAATAAGTTTTTAGTGCAAATTATTTTGCTTCACTGCTAGAGGTTCATTATCAGAGAAGAGCAACAAGGAGCTCTATTGGAATGAAAGCACACGTAGAGGAAAGAGCTAGCATATGCAGATGTCAAGCATGCACTTACTCCAGATATAAATGATATGAATAAGTCCCAATGTACACAAGTGTAACTTAAGCATATTCCACATTATGCTCTTTAATAAAAGAAAGAGGATAAATGAACAAGCAAGAATGAGAGAAGACTGTACTTTTGCTGTTACTTTCTTTCAACCTAGAACTTACCTTCCAGTATCACGGCCAAGTGTAAAATGAAGCAGAATTTAAATTCTAGGTTTTAAGCTTCTAACAGCTCAGTATCTGGTGAGTCAAGAGGTTTTCAAGGATTGTTTTGACCTTATGTATTTTTCTTTTCTGGGATGGGCTGCTCATGAAAACAAATGGCTGGAACAGCCATAACATTTAGTCTAAAAATGCCCTAACACTCCAGGTTTCTGTGCCAGATATCATAGAAGACACCACTACCCAGGACTTGCAAGTGTCACAAAATTCCATTCCTTGCAAAGAAAAAGACATCCGAACAAAGAAATACACACACACACACACACACACACACACACACACACACACACACGTATACACACAGATATTTTCATAATGACAGGTTCAGAAACAGAACAAAGCAGACTTAGAAGAAAAGACAAACCAGATCACCTCAATCCATGAAGAGGAGAATCCCACGTACCTGGTGACCGCCCGGGTGCAGATGGTAACAAGGAAACAGCCAGCCACGATCATCCAGCCCCAGCCTCCATCTGGAGGAGAGGTAGACCGAACTCTACTTCCTTTGGCCATGGCTTCGATTCTTTTTTCTTCTTTTTTGGGTTACTCTGATAGCCCAGTTACAATCCTGGAAGAGTTTTGCTGTCCAGTGACTTCCTATTGGCATTCAGGATTAGCATGGAATGCTACCTGGCACATAGGTTACTGGCCATCTAAAACCAAAAATCAGGATATATTTATTTCATTGTCATATCCAAAGGTTGATTTTTCACTTGACAAAAATGATCATTACTTTCCTGTGAAACACGATTATTTGTAACTATGAATGCTGGACTGAGGCAAAGACTATTAGTTGTCCTTGGTACCCGTTCTTCTTCTTTTTAATAAGAGATCCTCCCAAATTTTAGATAAATCCATGTCCACCCAGTTTGATACCCTATTTCCTAGCTTCTCTTGAAGGTAGATGTAGAAACACGGTTTAATCTAAATAAAAGGGATGGAAGAAAAAGTGATGCACCGTTTCTGGCTCAGGAGTTCAAAAGCAAAGGCACTTTCTCAGGACTTCCACCACCCCCTTTCCCATAGACAAGCTTGGATGTGAGGGGTGAGACAGCTTCACCCACACAGACCAGGACAGCACCCTGAGGGCTGGCAGAGCTACAGGGTAGAAGGAGCCCTGGTCCCCAGTGATGGTGGAGAAGGGCTGCCTCTTCAGCTCCCAACTTCACAGACCTCTGCACTGTTACACAAAATACCAAAAAGCTTCCATTTTTTTTGAGTCTCTGTATTTTGGAGTCTCTCTGTTACAACAGCTTAGACTATGTCCTACTTATGACACCAAATGACTCTGATAGTAGCTTCTTTGGCATTTCTGACTAGCAATACTATAATTTGTATTTATTTTTGTTTTTTAAATTTCTTCTTCAATGCTATCATTTCTAAGTGTGCAATAAAGGCAAGATGAGAATGACAAATAAATGAACTAGAATAGAGAGCCCAGTAGCAAGTACATAATAATTCAATATAGCTAAATAAAGTAGCAGAGATTGGTGGGGGAAAAAAGGATTACTCAGTATATCATGTCACAACTCTCCCTCTAGTTCTTAACCTTCCAGATAGGTCAGAGTTAAATGCAAAAAAATAAAAATTAAAACATTAAAAAAAAAAAAAACAAACAAACAAAGCAAGCAAGCATTAAAAATCTAGGTGAAAATACAGGCAAACATTTATCTGATCTCTAGATAGGAGAAGGACTCCCTGAGATATAAAGTAATATAACAAACTAAGAGGAAATTTTTGTTGATTTGTCTAAATTAAAATTTAATATTTCTACATATCACAGGATGTAGTAAATAAAGCCAAATGATAAATCACAGACCTGTGAAAAAACCATTAGCAACACATACTTCAAAGAAGTAATATCTGCAACATTAATTCATTCAATTACCAGCACTTCCTGAGTGTCTACTAGGTGCCAGGCAGTATTTCAGGGCCCCTCCTATGGTCCCGCCTCTTGTTGTTCTTGACTGTGTATAATCTCTCTCCATGTGTGCAGGCGGGACCTGTGACTTGCTGCTAACCAGAGTAAGGCACAGGTGACAGGACATGAATCCCATGATTATGTCATGTTATGTAAAAATCAGTCTTGCTAAAAAACTTGCTCTCTCTCTCCTGGGGCCTTGATGAACAAGCTGCCATATTGCACATGGCCTGTGGAGGGGGCCATGTCAGGGAGGACTGTGGGCAGCCTGGGGGAGCCAAGGATAGCCTCCAGGAGAGAACAAAAAGCTAAAGTTCTCAATCTTCAAAAAAAGGGAAACAAATTCTGCCACAACATCCCAAGCGGGCTTGGAAGCAGATTTTTTTCTGGTGATCTAGTTGAGAACAGAGCTTGGCCGACGTTTTGACCCCAGCCTGTGACACACAGAGCTGAGGAACTCGTTAAGCCGTCCTGGATTCTGGTCCCACAGAAACTGTGATATAAGGTGCTTCTTAAATTATTCTATAGCGTGTCAAAAAGGCTTCTGAAATACTGTTAGGGATGAATTGTTTGAGAGCCAAAAATAAGGGTTCTAATAGATCCTTTTCCCACAGGATGGAGCAAATCACTCAGTTGTTGGTACAATTTGATTATGATCACCAGATGAAATCGAGGTGGTATTAATTCAATGAAACATCATTTCAAATAAGACAAATCACGCATTATTTGGAACACAGGCTCTGTACCACTTGGTAAATCATGGGCAAACCAAATGAATACACATTTTTTTACTTTAAAGCCAGAATTTCTTTTAAGAAAATGTCTCACAGTAGAATCTTGCCATCTTTAAAGCCACCAGAACAAACTGGAAGCCTGTGAATTCAGAGAGCAAACACAGAGCAGAGACAGTGAATGGGAATCATTCCCTTAGAAGACGGGCCCCGAGAACTCCCCTGCACCTTGTGCCACATGAGGACAGGGCATAAAGAAGGCTCTCTAGGAGCAAGGAGATGGGTTCTCACCCACTACCAATTCCGCCAGCACCTTGATCTTGAACTTCCCACCTTCAGAACTGTGAGAAATAAAGGTTTGTTATCCAAGCCATCCAGTCCAGAGTAGTTTTGTTATAGCAGCCCAAATGGACTAAGACACCTGAAGCTTTAGATGTCCCAATTCCCTTGAGAAATGGATAATGCTGAATACAGCAGGCAGGCCTTCCTTTGGGGCAGCTATCACAGGGAGTGAAGGAGCAGCACATTCCTGGGTAAGGCCTGTATTCCCCCTTTCACCCTGTCCCTGCCCTCCTGTCCTGTCCGACCTCACGGTCTCACTCATACACAACATGTGACAGTCCCCTGCAGGCACAGTTTCTCTACTTGTGCCCATACCATGTTGCCCTAAGTCAGACTTTCTTGAAGGGCCAGATGTGAGTCATGTTCATGGGATGCCTTATGTTTCAGGCTCTGTCTCACAATTACAATGCGACCAGCCTTCAAGGTTCTACCCACACCTGCACACAGACACAATGAAATAACTTACTGCTTAGACACCATTAGGTGCCAAGTGTCATGAAATGGTAGAATCAATTGTACAAGGAAAGCAGCCGAAGCTCAGAAACCTCTGCCTTGGTTTAGTTCAAGCCTCTTCATAGTTTTTCCATTGAAATAACCCCAAGGATAAGTTGTTTTCCAACTGAAGACTGTAAGCCCACCAACACATAAATGTCCAGTATCCAGACCGTCCCCAGTCAGTGCTGCCCAGTGTTGCTCAGGGGTGCTGGAACAGGGGCGCCTTGGGGGCCCACTGGTTAAGCACCTGCTTTTGGCTCAAGTCATGGTCCTGGATCCTGGGATCGAGCCCCGCATCGGGCTTCCTGCTCACTGGGAAGCCTGCTTCTCCCTCTCCCTCTGCCCCTTCCCCCTACTTGTGCTCTCTTTCTTTGTCAAATAAATAAGTAAAATCTAAAAAAAGAAAAATGCTGAAAAGGGCAGTGAAATATAGTGCAACAGATGAAGAATTAGAAAGTTATTCAAATACTTTGCAGTAATCTCATTGCTGGGAAGTTATCCTAAGAAAACAATTTAAGAGAAGATGGACACTAGGGGTGGAAAATAATAGCAGCATTATGAATAATATATAAAATGGAGACAACTTAAGTGTTCAATAACTGGGAAGTGTTTCGAGAGTTATGATACATGAACCAACAGAACAGTATCCAATCCTTTCAAACCATCAACAAGAAGATAATATTGTAATAGGGGGAAACCTCTATGATGCCATGTTAAGGGGGAAAATGGTCTCTAAAATGGTGTGCACATTGTGAAGAGAAGCTAGGTAAAACTTATGTAGAAGTTGTGTACTTGCAACTGTCGCAAAGAATATAAGGATATGCAAAAAGGTCTATAGTTGTAAAGATGATGGAAAAATACATCTGGTATTTTTGTTATGAAAATTCTTTTCAATACCATTTTATATATAGTTTTCTTAGGTAGTTCAGGTCTACTCCTGTGATGTAAATATGAGCACGGGCATTTCTTTTGCACAGACTCTCAAGGACTAGAAAGAACCATATCACAGTTATTGAAACAACACAGTGAAAATTAGGTGATAGTTCAGCAGAGGACATTATGTACATAACAAGCTCCGGCAAAAATAAACTGTTCTGTCTCATTACAAAAGTCTTAAGCATCATTAACTTTTACTTCATCTCTTGTGTCTCCAGATGATTCCATTTTCATTTGTTTTAGTTGAGCAACCTCTCTGACAGTCCCACATTTTGTAAGTTAAGATCTGATTCATGCAGATCTCTCAAAAAAATACAATTGCAAGAAGCTACATGAGTGAGGTAAGTCAGACACCCAAGCAGCGCGGGGCTGACGGCACCATGAACAGAGGTCTGTTTTAAGTTAAAGTCAACCTGGGTAAAACCGCAGAACCTGGAACATTCTCACAGGGTTCCAGGGTGGGGAGAAGCAGCTTGGAAAGCATTGGTAGGTGGTGCCATGATTAATAATTCCTCATGAACAGGCCCCCTTGAGTCTCACAAGCCTCAGAGATGGGCGCTGTTTTCTCCCATTCACGATGATGAAGCTGAAGCCCAGAGGAGTGAAGGGACTCACGTGGCAGTGCTACATGGAGATACGGGTGGAGACGAGAGACCCTGGCAGATTTGGACAGTGCGCTTGCCCATCCACCTTCCAGATTTCCAAACAGCTGTTGGACACTGCTATCAACAAGCCATACAAACAATGGTAAAGCTTCAGAACCCACTGCCATGTGTGATCAGGAAAGAAGAAAGAGAGGAAGCCCACAGGTTAACACAAGGGTATACTGCCCAAAAAGCACCTCGTGTTTCTCTCAAAACAGGTCATTCAATAGATTTCTGTGTATTCAGAAGAAATGCACAGGTTAGACAAGGCTAACCTCGTTTCCTGGAGACTTTGGAGGAGCCTGCCGTTCCCCTAGAATACTAGCTTGCATGTTTTTATAAATAATTAACTGCCCCAATATGGCACAAATATAAGAAAAAAGTCCTTTACTGAATTAATAGTATACCTAAAACTATATGGAAAGGAAGCATGTTACCATCATGTAATTCTTCATTTTACTAATTGGCCTCCAATTTATTTCATTTTGACATCCAACCACTAAAGTGTAATTGCATTCTGCATCTCATTTTGGTTCCAGAAAAATCTTTTTGGAACACAAGAGTCTCTATTTTATGATGTTCCTCTAAGATTACTCTTTAATAATACAAATTAGGATATATGCTCAATTTCACTTCCCCTCCTGGCTTTAAAAAATTTAACCATTGGCAGGGACCCCGAGTTGCTCAGTCAGTTAAACTTCTTAAACATCTGCTTTTGGCTCAGATCATGATCCTGGGGTCCTGGAATCAAGCCCTGTGTTTGCCCCCGCCCAGTGGGGAGTGTGTTTCTCTCTCTGCCCCTGTTTTTCTCTGTGCCTCTCCCCCATTTGTGCTTTCTCTCTCACTTACTCTCTCCCAAATAAATAAAATCTTTAAAAAAAGTTTTTGTACTATTCTTACAACTTTTCTATAAATGTGAAATTATGTCTGGGGCACCTGGGTGCCTCAGTTGGCTAAACATCTGACTCTTGATCTCAGCTTAGGTCATGATCCCAGGGTCCTGAGTTTGAGCCCTGTGTCAGGCTCCCAGCTCACTGGGGAGTCTGCTTCTCCCTGTGTGCCCTGTCCCTCCCGGCTGCTCATGTTTTCTCTCTCTCTCTCAAATAAATAAACAAAATTGTTTTTTAATAAAATCTAACCATTTGCAAAGAATTCTTACTAACAGTCAATAACTTTCCACAAAAGCACCGCATTTGTGGGGCAAATCTTTCATGCTGACCTCGGTAAAGTTTTCTGAAGTGATCTCTTCTGCCAGTAGAAGACCTATGCATCTCTTACAGTCCATGTGTTGCTGAGAAAAGTTGACAATGGTCCCTGAAACACTTGTTTTGTTAGGGCTCCCAATACTATCTTGTTCTTTCCTTCCTCCATTCCCTTTTACTTCTAGTGTCTTAGCCTTTAGCTGTACCCTTCTTTATAAACTGTTTTGCAGCCACAAAAGAGATAAAGGTGTGTGGGAGAAAGGTAATCAAGAATGGGAATTAAAACCATTGGGTCTAAGCGACATGTGGTAGTTGTTATAACCCTGTGCAAATCACCTCGTCTCTGCGACCATTTCCTAATCTATAAAACCAGGGAGTTGAATTACTCTTTATCCTTCAAACCAGCTGGCTGATTATTAGGTACCTCTTCCCTCATATGTGAGTACCTGGTTGACCAGGCACTTCTCAGTAAACTGATCACTATTCTTTGTTTTGATTTAAGAATCATGAAATTTGCCAGTATCTCTCATTTTTGAGGCATTTCTAAAATATTCCAGTACTGCAGGTAGTATTTTTGGAATATCTCTTGAGGTATTTATTACCTTTTGTTGGCAAGCTGGTTTTCTCTCGCTGCCCCACATCTGTCATTAAGGCTAAGCCAAGACATTCATTGCTGTAAGAAACAAGAAGGGTGAGTCCCCTCCATAATAAATTCATCCATAAATAAGGAATCATAGGCTTGGGATAAAGGGGAAGTTTCTATCACACAAAGGGAAAGTAGTTTCTTAATTCTTCACCATACCACTTATCCACCCCTGGTCGAGACTTAAGATAACCGGAAGGGCAGTCCTGAAAAACCTAGACGGCTCATCACTCTTCCTTTTAAAAGAGCTTTCGCCCTTCCTTTCTGGGTAGGCTTCTACGGTACACACTGAAGATAGAAGCCAGTACTTAGAAACCAGCAAGATGAGTGTCACCAGCAGAATGCCAAGACACCAATACTAATAAGGAAAGTTCTGCTTAGGCCAAAGAGAACTCAGGGACCTGCCTGCCAACCACCTTGTCCACCATTACCATGAGGACACATGAGTTCTCCCCTAAGCCAGACAAGCAGAAAGGAGACAGAGGAATAAATACCACAGAAAGGAGAAACAACATTTACTTACAGATTAACCTTGGATTTAGCTAAATATTGATCCAAAAAGACTGAGCTAATATGAAAGCAAGTACTTTAAACTGGCAAAGACTGCTAGAAACTTTTAAAAATCGGGATATAATTCATACACACCCATTTTGAAGTCTATGTTTCGATGACTTTTGACAATGTATACACTCACATAACCACAACCACCACAACCAAGATAGAGAACATTTTCTTCACCCCAAATCCTCACCCCAAATCCTCCTTCATGCTCCTTTGCAGTCAATCTCCATCAACCTCAGTGCCAAATCATGGCTGATTTGCTTTCTGTCCAATATAGATTAGTTTTGTCAGGAAAGAATTCTGTAAAAATGGAAACACGCAGTATGGACCATTCTCTTTCCAGATTCCAGATGAGTATTTCAAGATTCATCTAGGATGTTGTGTGTATCTGTAGATTCCTTTTTATTGCTGAATAGCAATGTGTATTATCGATATACTACAATTTATTCATGTATTATCTGTTGATGGACATTAGGGTCATTTCTGGTTTTAGAACATTATGAACAAAGCTTCTGTGACACCCATATGCATGTCTTTCTGTGGACATTTATTTTCATTCTCTTGAGTAAATATGTAGGAATGAAATTGCTGAGTCATACTGTAAGTATATGTTTAACTTTAGAAGAAACTCCCAGACTATTTCTCAAAACAGCTACACGATATTATGAGTAATAGATTAGAAGTCCAGTTGCTCTAGCGTGTAATGGATTTTCATTATAGTTTTAATTTATGCCTCCCTGATGACTAAGAATGTTAATGACTTTTTTTCATGTACTTATTAACTATTCATACATCTTCTTTTGTCTATTCAAATATCATTCACATTTTGAGGGGGGCTGTTTGTCTTTTTATTGAGATGTAAAAATTCATTGTATACTGTAAGATACAAGTCCTCCGTAGAAATACGTATTACAAATATTTTCTCCCATTCGGTGGCTTGCCCATTCATTTCTTAGTGGTATATTCTGAAGAGCAGAAGTTACTAATGTTGATGAACTGGAATTTATTATTTTTCTTTTGTAGAGTCCAATGTATTTCTAGATATTAGTGGTGAGCCACTACAAATTAAAACTTAAATTTGAGGGCAGCATCCCAAACAATGAAATGCCCAGGAGTCAACTTAATATTTGTATTACTTTTACACTAAAAACTACAAAACAGTGTTGAAAGAAATTTATAAATGCCTATAAGAGAGAGAGAGATACCACGTTCATTCCATGGAAGATGTCAAATCTACGCAAGTTGACCGATATTTTCAATGGCTGGGAATCACAGAAGACACCATGTGTGTAGTGGGTCAGTCTTCCAAGTATGCTGGGAGAGGATTCCAACACTCTTCTGCAAAGCCTTTAGAGGGGGAGCCAGCCGTGTTCCTGCTGCTAGCCTTATAGCCTCATAGCCCAGGGCAAGCCCAGCCTCTGAAAAGGACCCAGTGTGGAGGGAAGTTAAAGAAACTCCTCTGTCTGCTGGGCTTTGCAGTCTCTGGCCCAGGAAGCCAACTATTTTTTCCATTTGGAGTCTCTGGGTCTTAGGGATGCCTTCTACTGCATATGGATTTATTTTTGTTGCTCAATGGTATTACACATGTGCTATGAAAAATAATATTGTTCTTAGTAAAGAAAAACTAGTGATTTGCTTTTTTTCCCTCTCCTTTCTGCTTCTCTCTGCTTAGTCCTCCCACGGATCCTGGTAACAGGGGAATAAATAACTACTGACTTCACCCAGAAATTTGGGGGTGTCTGTTGGGAGCCTTTGAGCACTAAACTGAAACACTGACTTCTGGTAATGAAGCTGCCCGAGTTCCTATGCTGGGTGTGAGACTCTGGGGACAGGAATACTTTACATAAGACCTAGGATAAACAGCAGAGCAATTTATACAGTATTTCATCTACACATTGGGAGAAAAGGGTACAACCTGTGATTCACATAAGACACAGAGAGTAGAAAGCACCTTCTTTGCCTCCCTGCCAGCTCCTACCCCGCAGAGCTGCTGATTCTAGGCAACATCAGAAAAATGCTTACTTCAGCTTCTAATAGTTTGTTGACAGTGCAATTCATAACCAGGAGCTTGCTCCCAATTACCATTTTCTGCAGTGATAGAGTTCTTGTCTCTCCTCTTTGCAAGTGCATGTAAAAGAAAGGACAGGCCTGGGCTATCCCTCTCTGATAAAAAAATATATATATAACATGCGGTCAGGAATGTCTGCTCCTGGCAGTGTCTGGTCTAAAGCTGGTGTGACTCAGTGAATAAATCCTTGTGTCTAACCCTGTGCCCTGCAGAAGTCTCTAATTCTAATTTTGCACTCTGAGAGTGTGGGGAACTATTAGGTCAGACTGTGTTCTATGAGAGGCTCCTTGACTGTAGAGGAGAACCTCGGGGCTTGAGATGGATCGCACAGAGTCTTTCTGTTAGTTCACAGAGAGTCTTTTATTGAAGGACAGGGCTGCCGGTCTATACCACAACATTTTCCTCTCTCTATAACCATGGCTACGGCCATGTTGCTGGAATGGGAGAGGCAACCAGTCAAATATTTCGGTTGGCTAGAAGTTAACCCCTTGAGTCATGCAGTGTTGGGGGAACTGGTGTTGGAAAGCCAGTGCAGGCAGAATTCAGGTCTGCTCAGAGTGTGAGGTCGCTAGGAGCGGGGGACCCTTGATGTTTCATGCCTCAGACACTGCCTTGCAGAGAACAGGGACTCAGTAGACATTTAGGGAATGAACATCCCCAATTCTAGAGTTCTGGGTGTTTTCTCAAATCACATGGGGGAAGGGGTACAGGGAGCTTGAGGGATGAGGGCAAGAAATTACCCATTGGTTCTTTATTCTTTTTATCCACTGTCAGACCAGATTAACTGGCTTTCCCTGCATCTGGGTAACAGGGCCTCAAGTGAATATATCTCACTGAGAACACCAGCACAGCCAGGCCCCGACCCCAGACCAGGCCAAACCTGCAAATGTAATTTCACTGCCAGTGTCATGGAAAAATGCAGATTTTTCCTTCTTGTATAGGGAAAATCCAGTTCTTCCCTATTATGTGTGCCTCTCTCATGAGTCTCCTTTCCTGCACACACAAAACACTTCAGATCTGACCCTTCTGGTCACCCCGACAGCAAGAAGCAATTCTTAGACACCAGTAGGGTGTCCAAGAATTCAACTCAATTCTGACACTTCTATGCAGAGAAAGTATCAGACTCCCCCAGGTTAAGGACTCAGTCCCCAAAGGCTGTCCCTCACCCCCCACCTTCAGACACCAGTCACAAGCCTAGGGTATCATCTGAGCTTCTGACTAACAAACAGTAGATGGGCAGTGCCAACGGTTTCTTCCTTGGTTCCCTGAATTTGCTAGAGCGGCTCACAAAACTCAGGGAAACACTTACTCATGTTTACCAGCTTACTGTGAAAGGCTATGATAAAGGATACAGACGAACATCTAGATGCCAGAGATATGTAGGCCGAGGTATGTGAGCAGGACTCACAAGCCAGGGGACTTCCATGCCCTGTCCTGGGATGATACTGTTCCGCACCTCCACGAGCTCACCAACCCGAAAGCTGCCAAGCCCCCAACGGCTGGGATTTTATGGACACTTCCTCACAGAGACGTGATCAATCATTAACTCCATTTTCAGCCCCTCTCCTCTCTCTGAAAAAGGGAGGGGGCTGTGGGGCTGAAAATCCCAAGCTTCTAATCATGTCTCGGCCTTTCTGGGGACCAAGAGAGTGGCTAAAAATGCACATGGGTTGCTGGAGGGCTCACCTACAGAGCCTGGCATTCGGCCCACTGTCTGCCCCACATTGCACAGGCCATCAAATTCCACAGGCTCTTAGAGATGTTTATTTACGCGCTCTGTAGACTCTGTTCACTGCTTGAGCCACAGTAGGTCACACAAAGGACAAGGTGTTGCCAAGGCTGAGAATGTGGTGTACTCTTTAGTGCAAGACCAAGGACCGGAATTTCTTTCTGGAAATGAAAAACTTAGAAACGATTTTACAAAAATTCTTTCAAGATGTGGATGGCTGTCTTTGTCTCTATCCTGACAGAAGTCGTTAGAACGGAAGCAGTTCATTCTAGTCCCTCCTAGTTTTGGACCCAGGGAAAAGTTTGGTGAACTTTCACAACAAAGACCTTAGAAGTAGTTCCCAGCCAACTTTTTAATGGCTGAGTTTGCTCCATACATTTTTAAATATTTCCTAAAAGTAAATAAAAAAATATTTTCTTAGCTAAACATGGAAACAGTTATATTTTAATGTTATTTGTTGATTAAGAAACTATATAAAGGTGAGCCTAGGTGGCTCAGTCGGTTAAGTGTCTGCCTTCAGCTTGGATTATGATCCCAGGGTTCTGGGATCAAGTCCCACATCAGGCTGTCTGCTCAGCGGGGAGCCTGCTTCTCCTTTTCCCTCTGCCGACTGCCCCCTTGCTTGTGCTCTCTCTTTCTCTGTCTAATAAATAAATAAAATCTTCTTAAAAATATATAAAGACATGAGTTAAAATGAATTTCATGGTATTTTTAAATACATTTTATTTTATTTTATAAATCACTAAGGCACTTACAAACATTTGACAAAGCCTGACAACAGTGTAAGATGTTATTCTGTTCATAGGCAACGTTGTGTGTATTGTGGATTTGCACACCCTGTACTAAATCTCTCATCTCTTTCCAGGTCAGAGATTCCACCCCCCCCGCCCCCGACCTTGATTAGAAGCCCCTCTCTGTTTATTAAGGGTAGGGCTAGTGCCTCAGGGAACATAAATTCCTTCTGGTTTACTAGGTGTATTATTTACCCAAGGTCCTAGTAGGGGCCAGGAAGTTGGGGAGACTTCAACAAAGACATTTATAAAGATGTGAGCTATGTTCATAAACTCTAACAAAGGTCAGTAGAGTCCCCTGGGGCTAGTAATGGTGAGAGATATTACCACGGCTGGACCTGAAGGGCAGAGGGAGAGAACAATACCTGGAATCTTCTATAAAGTTACCATGGGAAATCTTGGGCAAAGGAAAGTAGCCAAGCCACCAGGATCAGACAGTAAAAGAGCCAAGGACACAAATACACCGGCCTCACATGATGCTTCTGAGTCCTCTTGGTGGCTGGACCCAAGGGGGACCCAGTTGTCACAGCTCCTGCATGTCCGTCTCCCGGGGTAGAAATGGAAGGATGGTGACCTTAGAGGGACAGAGGGAAGCCATCCTGCACACCAGAGTGGGCTGCTTGGGTTGTGCACCAGGGTTGTGGTTGAAAGATGAGGTCAATTCCTGAGCCATCGTGGGCTTGCCTTTGAACAAGGTCAAGTCACTCAAGGTTACCAACTCAAATCTTTTGGCTTATTTCAAATACAAAACTCAGTTGTGAAACCAACCTCCTCTTTTGCTGCTCTTACTTCAGTGCTCCCTTAATTTCAGCCAGCAATCACCTTCAAAGGGACCAGGCCAAAATGTGCATCTCTGCTCCCAGCCTCCCTCAGACTTCCAAGAGCCTACAAGGTGCCTCAAATTCACATGTCCGAAAACATCATAGGCTCTTCTCCCCTGGAAACACAATGTGTGTGTGTGTGTGTGTGTGTGCGCGCGCACGCGCGCGCACACGCATGCATGTAATGCTTTTAGCATTTTCCAGCTAGGCACACTAGCACACTCTGAGTCACCTTGACAACTCCCCAATTCTCATAACAAGTGAGTCCAACTCTTACCACGTCCACTCATGTGCCTCTCACATCTGCCTTCCCACTTGAATTTCCCTCTATCTCATACCTGAAACGAGCCGGAGCCTGCTGCGGCCTGCCCAGCTCCATCCGTCACTAACGGGTGACCCTGTTTGGACCTCCTTGCTACTCGCTAATGGCAAGCTTTTATTTAGTGTCTCAGTGCCTTGGTTCCCTTATCTGCAAGACAGATTTGTGGACAATACTTGCAACCGGGGACAGAGACCTCCTTTCCATTGAATCCATGTGTGGGACATCCTGGTAGATGTGACACCCCGGGCCTTTCTCAACCTCCTCGCTGACTTTTCCCCAGAGGAGGAAAGCAGTTATCTGATCTGTGACTTTGGGGGAAACAGATACAGCTGCACTTGGTCAATTCAGTCCTTCTCTTCCTTGTTTTTTTTTTCCCCACTTGATCTGCTTGTTAGTAGAGAGAGCTCCTCCTTCTCGGGTCTTGCGTGCGACAAGTGAAATAGGAGTGGGTGGCCCTGCAAGTCAGCCCGTGCTTGCTTGGGGCTGGCAGGGACTGCGAGTAGGTAAACCTGCATTTTTTTTTTATGGGAAAAGTATTGCAGTCCTACCTGGCTTGTCCTAAGCCTCATTCCCCAATTCTCAGTAACAGGAACGTTGAAGGTGGCATTTTGGTTTTGTTTTTAAAGATTTTATTTATTTATTTGACAGAGAGAGAGTACAAGCAGGGGGAACGGCAGACAGAGGGAGAGGGAGAAGCGGACTCCCCGCTGAGCAGGGAGCCCAATGCAGAACTCGATCCCAGGACCCCGGGATCATGACCTGAGCCAAAGGCAGATGCTAATCTGACTAAGCCACCCAGGTGCACCGCCCCTTTTTAAAAAAAAAAGATTTTGAAGGTGGGATTTTGATCTTCATCGGTTGGATACCTGTTTTCACCTCTATGTTGGTTTTGAACTTAAGGAAATGATGAATGTTTTCTAATTGATTTTTTTCAAATCCCCTTTCCTGACTCGTGGAATTATTTGGAAAATGTAATGAGGTAATCCGCATTATATCATGAAGCACAGGATTGCCCCACAGCATAAACATTCAAATAAATGTTAGCTATTATCACACTTGTTGTTAATAGACTGCCTCCCTGAGCGTTAGGAGAGGGGTGAGGAATTTAAGATTTCAATATTTTATGATTATTATAATTTTTTGTATCAAAACTGCATAGGAGAGTCACAGTTCTATCAAGGAGAACTTTATAAACTGCAAAAGAAGACCTGGCATCTTTCCCTGTCCAGAGACTTCACGATGGGGCATGTACGTGTGTTCTGAGGCTGGGTGTGAACATGTTCTGAGAGAGTTCTCTGAGAAGGAGGCTTACAGGAGGCCCTTAGCCCATGGTGCACTTGTATGTAGTAACATAACATGGCTACAAAAATATTTTTTAAAGAGAAAAGGGAAGTGCCTGGGTGTCTCCATCAGTTAAGCGTCCAACTCTTGATTTCAGCTCAGG